AAGTCATAGGTCACTTGTCGAGACACACACACACCTGAATGAAACAGGCTGCGTGGGGACATTTGACACAATGTGTTTAAGTCAATTGTGGGGACCAGTTTTGCCCAGGATTCTACCCAGACACTGACTGAGTGTGTTTGTGTGTCACATCGAGTGAAGGTGTGCTGTGGGGACGTCGTAAGAGTCTAGAATAGAGTGAAAACTACCCAAGAAAAAAACCCAAGAGAAGACTAAAAGGTGTTCGGAAACATTAAGCCAATGGACGCCATCCACACTGAACCACTTAGTACCTTGATTTAAGCTGGATAACGTCACAGGACACTCCTATAGACTAACACCAAATGGAAAGTGATGAAGTACCTGTTCAGGACAGTCACTCTGACTTGAATCACTGGTTGGGATCTTTGGCAAAGGGACAGGCAGGGACTCATCAACTGCCTGTGACTGGGCCATAGCAATGGTCACCTGGGAACACACACACATTACAATGACAACACTTTAATACAGTAGAGCATTAGATACACCAGACATGCATCTGATCCTGGAAGGAACCCTGACATATAAGGCACACACATTCACTCTGCATCATGAATCATTCTGTGTACTGTTTAACTTACTTTTGTTCTCCAAGGACAGTCTTCCCCTCCATAATCATAAGTAATTTCCTCTCCTTCTTTAATGTCATTTAATGCAAACAGACAAAGGTGCGGGTTTCCATTGACATCGATTTTTTTCATTCTACAGTTTGGCCGTCTATGTTCGTCATTTATTAGCCTCCCAAATGATCCGTCATCTCTTGAGGCATCAATACTGAAGGAAAGATGGAAACAGAGATGATGAGATACATCACCACAACATTTAAGCCCCTTTATAGTGCTATATGTTACAGTAAATAGTGTAGTCTCACCACCATAATTTTCCTTTCCACTTGAACGCGAACATGAAGGCAAGACATGACGAGTGGTAGAGTTTTTTTCTTCTCTGGGACTCTGCATCATTTATCATATCCCCTTTATACTCAACCACAAATTCACCCTTGGAAATTGAACTCTTTGCAAATATGCCGCGTCCTGTAACAGACAATAAAATAATCTGAACAAAACCTGGAAAACCCATTCAATCTACATTACACAAAGGACGGCAATTCAGAAAAAAAGTATCTTAAAAAGAGTTGTCAGTAGATGGAGGCTCATCTGATATAACGGTAATAAAGTTCCTACTTTGTGTCCCTTACTTTTTGCATTAGTTGTTATATAATAATAATAATAATAATAATGATGATGATGATGATAACAACAACAGTTGAATCACTACCATACCTTTTACAGCATCTATGTATTTCACCTCCAATTTGAATGTTTTGTCTCTTTTTGAAATTATATGCTGAATGGCATCATTGAGGGGGGTGATCCGTGGTGGCATCTTAATCTGCAGATAAAATAAACAAATTTGTCTGCACTGCTCATTCTGTAAAGTCATCAGCTCAATAACTATGACTAGACACTTAAAAAACAGAGTAATGGCTTATCATTTGTTGAGCAAAATGGCAGAAAAGTGACAAGACTTGCACAGTTACCCCCGAAATTTAGTGTACTATCACAAACTCACCACCACTGAAGGGAGACAAAGTTAAATTACATTAACGGCAATAGGACTTCCGGCACACTTTCAAATTAAAAGCACAACAGAGGAAGTTACCACAAAATTGTGGTTTGTAGGACAGCAATTTGATGACTCGAAAAATTATGTTGCTTATTTGTTTTTAATTGCAGCATTTCCAAATTCATCTATGAAGAACTTAGGTCTATACTACCATGTTGTAACTTTACTTGAATTTAACTACAGTACTAATCGTGAATTCATCATATAAAAATCACATTTGCATTTGCTCAATAAACTATAGCCTAATATTAGGCTATAAGTAATATATCTGTGCTGTTTTAGTAGACACACAAACCGCTGGTTACCTAATTTAAAGACTTAATTTCATAATTTTTTTCCTTTTAATTTTTTTTCTTGCTATTCTAAATACTGTCATGCATACATATTGTGATAAAAGTTAAGCAAAACATGTCAGAACCGGGAAAAAAACAAAAAACTAATTGCATTCATTCCCTCATTATCACCGTCAGGTGTTAGCTTGTATCATGCATGCAATTACATTAGCTACAGGCTACTTAGCTAATAGATTAGCCGGCTACTCGGCTAATAGATTAGCCGAGTAGCCTGTGGCTAATTGCCTTACTTTTGGAATGGAAAAAAAGGCAGGAATATACAAATATGCTTACCTGACTTTTCCGTTTCACTCCACAACACAAAAAGGTTAACTTTCCAGCACTTTCCAGTGAAAATGCACTTCTTCATAAAATCCTTCCAAATGGGTACTCGGAAGTGGGCAGTGCCCTACCATATATGGTCAAAGTGTGTAAGCGCAACAGCGATTGCATTGCTGTCCCCAAAACGATAGGGGGCGCAAGAGAGCACTCCCCACACACAAACATTGACTGAAAAACATGTGTTATAGGCCAAAGCTAAAAACTTCACAGACAGCTCATAACTGCTCCAGGAGTGATTTAAAAAGGTTTTCCTTATGGGGACCCGATTTTTTGTCCCCAGAGCGCAAGAGGTCCCCATGACGTGACTGTGTAAACAGTTTGAAGTCCCCATGATGTGATAAATACCAGAACACACACACACACACACACACACACACACACAATGACATACCTATTGATTTTTAGAAGATATTTGATATGTCATGTCCCAGTTTTGTTGTATGGTGTAGTCTGATTAATTGACATTGGCCATGCATTTGGGGCAGAAATCCAACTAAGGAAATCCAATTAAGGGGAAATCCAACACATTGACCACCAATAAGCCAAAGCAAGCTTGTTGGCAACGAATTCCTGATTGTGTAAATGTATAAGTAGGGCATGTCTTTTCCTGCTCTCCATTTTTGTTTCATTCTTCGTCTTAATATGTGCATCAATGTGTTGATTACCCATATTGTCGTACCCTAAATTTAGGTTTCATTCGTTTTTTTTCAGACAAAGGTAGGTTTAGACATAAATATATTTGTCTGTAAAAAGATGTATGTTCATGGTTTCCAGTTGATGGTGTCATGCTTGGGGTTGTTGGTTTGCTTTTTTTTCTTTTATGGCTTGGTCCTGCCATTTCCTGTTTTATTTTGAAATGATAACTTCCTTCTTGTTTCTGGTTACTTGTCCTTCCTCTTGTGGCAACAGTCTGCGTTCCCTAATTACTTATTGTGTTCACCTGTTCCTCGTTTTCCCTCCCGTGCCCCTTGTCTTGTGCCAGATTCTCGTCTGCATCATCAACAGTGTCACGTCCTTCCTGGTTTCAGGTATGTCTCTTTGTCTGTTTTTTTTGTGTTTTTTTTCTCTGGGTTTTGTTTTGGGTTTATTCCCCCAGCTTCTGCTGTGTTTTTTTGTTGTTGTTGTCCCATTATAAAATTATTTTCCCCTGAGTTCCTGGTCCCTGTGTCTCCCTCCTTGGTCCAGCATATTGGATCCTTCTCCTACAACCTGTGACAGATGGCCTATTTCTGTTTTTCAGCTAAGAAAACAACATGTGTGAAGGGTACTGATGGGGTACTGGTACTGGTGATAGCCACTAACAATGGGAGGCCAATTATGGGAGGAGGCTTGCCACTGGAAATCCTAAGAACACAGACAGACAAAAGCTTAATCCTTGTAACAATTTAAAACTTCCATACAGTGTAAGAAAAATGTAGTATACATGATATTATCCTCCTTAAAAAATACCCTTTCAAGATAGAAAAAAAACTTCTATAAATGTTTTATCTAAGGCCTTCTCTTATATCTGCATTTCTTTGTTTAAAAATAGTGCCGCAAGTCTAATTTGCCTCCGAGTTTTTGGGCTGATTCTTGGTTTGTTTTTACTTTGAGAATACAAGAATCTAGTGACTTAAACCAGGTAGTTGATGGCCTTGTGAAAACAGGTAGTATACTTTGGTACGGCCCATAATTTTTATGGTAGCGACTCTCCCGTGAATGATATAGGCAGGGGATTCCACCTTTTAAGATTATCTTTCTATTGACTTTAAAAGCTGTATGTAATTTTTCTTTCTGAGCTCTGGCAGCCTGGTTGAGATGTCTATACCCAAGTATCTAATGTTTCTTGACCGTACCATAGTTAATGGTGATTAACTGTGATTAACGGGCAGAACTGTAGACACTGACTAGCGTGATAATGTTTTGTGAGAGATACTTGTGGATTCTGGAGGAAGTGATATATCATCTGCATAAAGCTGTCTTATGTTCAGAATGTGTGGACTGAATGTCTCTGGTTTGTCTGTCAGCTGCTAGGGGTTCAATAAATATTGCAACGAGTGAAAGGGAGAACGGGTTCCCTAGTCTGATTCCTGTCTGTACAGTAGACTGAACGTTGAAGACATTTGATCATTGGTCCTAAAACGTGCATTTGGAGAACTGTGCATCTAATGAAACTATTGTTTTCAAGGTTGATTGTACGTATTAATTATCCTGTGTGCATTAGTGGAAGACTGTCTTTCCTTTATGAATCCTGTTTGACACGGTTGTATTGAAAGAGGTCTCACTTTTTCCTGTCGACTGGCAAAAGCTTTTGAGATTATTTTGAGAGACATTCATTTGAGATATTGGGGCAAATAGCTGGATGGGAGTATAGGATCTTTTCCTGTTTTCTAAAGCAAAATGATATTAGCGGAGTCATGTTTGAGGGCACTTTGTTTTTCTCCATTTTTAAAATCATCTTATGAAAGGGGATTTTGTTGGGTTCGGCTATTGAAAGAGGAGAATCCAACACTATGCTATAATTTTCAGATTGATATTACCTAGAAATTCATGAATGTTAATGTCTTGTGAATAATTCATTAAAAAAAAGTTGATTTATAACAGGATCATGGGTAACAGATCCTGATAAGTCTTTGATTCAAGTGATTGTTTCTTTCTCTATTCATTTTTAGATGATTAGCGACCATCAAGAAAAATAGATTATTTTCTGGCTTTTCTGTGAGATGATGTACCAGTCAGATCGTTATTTTCTAAGTACATGGACAATTCCTTTTGGAAGAAATTGATTAACTGAGGGTCTTTCAATAATTATATATTCAGTCTCCAGTTCCTTGACTGTGATTTGATTTTCTTATTAATCTAAGTGATAACGATTGGTATGATCTCTGATGGTCATGGAGTAGATTCTGGTTTCTGATATCCCCCTCTGTGAAGAGCTACTAACTTGAAAATAATCTAATCTTGGTGTACTGGTGCAGAAAATGTGTAATCCTCAAGAATGGGGTGACAGGAGCACTATGAATGAGACCAAGACCAGGATCATTCATGATTGTGGACTCCCTGTATCACTAAGCCTGTCCACAGTTAGGTCAAAGACTACAGTATGTTGAAGTCAAAAGGCCATATTGAGGTTGCCTACTGTGAGGAGTGGGTTATATTAATGATCAGGCAGTGATGTGAAAGAATGAGGGGGGATCAAAATGTGGACCCCTTAAATATTAGAAATGCATAACTTCATGTCTTGAATGAGTATACTAAATTTGATTAATCTACCTTCTGGGTCGACAGTCGTATTGTTTATGGTAAAACTTACTCTCCTGTTTATCAAAATGGCTACATCTTTTTGTCTGGAGTTATAACCAACTGGAAATATATGGTGAAATTGTGCTGAGGGCAGAACATCAACTGCTTTATTTAGTAGTGAAACATCTGCCTGTAGATCCTTTAACTGGTTGTGGATGTTAAATCTCTCTCTTGGCCCTGCTCCACACACATTCCATGTAACAGACCTTAGCACAGTGCATGTTTGATGCTTACTAAACAAAACATTCATGTGCGCAAGCACAATAGGGAATGCTCATGTATATAACCTGTATTTTCTTGACATTTGGCCAATTTAGTTTTGAGTTTGCCATTTCCTCACTCAAAAGCATGTCCACTGTGGATGGTAAACACAGTGTGTGTGCAATGTCCCAGAAATGTACCAGACTCAGTGCTGTTTAAAAAAGTAAAAAAATAAATGTCTGCGGTTATGCTGCCAATATTTCCCTGCAATGCCCTATTTGGAATGATTTCTGTAAGCTTTTCTAGTTTCAATGAGATCCATCATTAAATTTGCAAAAGATTGGACGTGGGGGGGGGGGCATGTGTCTTTACTATGTTGTAAATGGTACAAATCATGTTTGAACTGGCACTAATTCGTGTCAATCTGGCAAAATGAGGAAGAAAATGTCTAGGAAGATCTGGTATGCTTTAAGGTCCAATCCGAATGCCGTTGGTGGGGGTTACAACTGCAGAAGTGTAATGGTGCTTCTCTCAAGCAGAGGGAAAATCAGAAAGGGTGAGAGGTAGGGGAGGTTTTGGGGGGGAAAGTGAAGTGGATTCAGGAAGTTGTAGAGAAGCCCGTTTAGTCTATCATCTGGCCTTACGTTGCCTTAAGCAGCAGGGGAATCAATAAGTGTTAGCTGCACACAGGCAGAAACCAGAGGACAAGAAGATTGCCTCAAGAAAGTCAAATGTCTGGCATGCATTCAAAATAGGTTTATTGTCTGATTTGAGAGTGTCTGTGTTTCCTCAGTGTACCAAAGTCACTAAATGACACCGAATGCCTCCGGGATAAGATGTCTTAAAACCCATATTTAAGATATTGTAAGATATCTAAGCTGAATTTTTAAAGCGGTAAACTTGTAGTCTGCATGTCTTTCAGGGCTCAAAGGCTTTACATGTCCCTTAAGATTAATATTTGAAGAATTTAAAACTTTCCTCACTAGATGAGGAGAAATGTTGGAGTTGGAGCTCAGAACAAACTAGTATCTTC